CAGCATGACTGCCAAAATCACACCAGGAAACTGAGCAGTTTGCACCCAAGCACACGTGAGCACGTGTTTATTAGTAGAGACACAGCAGAACATTTGAACATGGTCTCATCCTTGACCTGGCTCTTGCACCTGCACTCTCAGTACTGACATTATGCTGATCTGGGACAGCATGGGATTTATATCACTACATAAACATCAGGGTGACAACTCTGCTGATCACTGAAGAGCGCTGACTCCCAGGCTGTGCTGTCAGTGGTCCAAATGTTGTATCACCTACTAAGGTGTGTCTTAACAACAAGCTCTGTTACAAAGAAATAAGTTTGGCCTTCTTCATTAAGGCCCTCCAGTTCTGCAGCATTCTTTTCAGCTGAAAGAAAAGCTTCCAGGTCTCCTAGTACAGTGTATCCTGACACCGTAACAGAGGAAAAACGCCTGCAAAAAACTGCTTTCTCTTTGGAGATCTGGATTCCTTTTATCACTTACGTACACTTACTGGGAATTAACTGGCAGAGAAACGAAGACATCACATCTTCTAGAAAAGCCTGCACTTCAGTGATACATACAGGTAAACAGAAGAATGGCATCCACTTCATTTTTCCTTTTAAATGCATTAACGCCTGTATACTACACTTATTAATGCTCACATTACAATCCCATTAAATCCACGAGTTTTAAAGATGTGGACTACATTTTAGTTAGGAAAAAGGCGCATGGTTCATCCCTCTGAATCAGTGAGGGGAAAGTGCTGTTATTCTCAAACATGATCCAGGGATACACAACACATCTTCTTCCTCCCGTGCCAAAGTATATGTCAGGAAGAAAGGCAAACCAGCTTGAAGGTTACAACTAACGCATGTTGCAAAAGTTTTTAAAGTCAAAGCGATCAACTCGAGAAGAACTGCGACAGTATCACACGTTTTGTTCTAAATCTTGCAATTTTTGGTATCTTTACTATTGGCCTACTTCCTGATGCTATAAGATTATATATTAAAGAAACCTCTACTTTCACAGAACAGGAAAACAGCACATGTTGCTTGCTGTCACCACCACCCAGAGAAACACGAATAATAGCTGTCAGCTGTGAAAGCTCAGAAACCAGAGGACCAAGAGAAGGACTCCATGCACAACTACTTTTTTGAAACTCACAATTTTTTAAACCCCTCTCTTTTGTTGGTAGGGATCTGACTCATAATTTTCAGAAACAAACAGGAAGCACTGCAGACATCTCCAAGTATTTCCTCTCCCCACCCTCCCTTTCACCCACCCCCCTTGTCTTTTACTTAACTTCTGGACACTTTATTATTTCTTTTGCTACGTCTGCAGTGAAATGTCACTGCTCTATACTGGCTCCAGTGTACTAAGGTACACAGACCTTCTTTTGCTGAGATCAAAGGGAAAGGTGCCCTTCCTCCCATTGACTGGACAAAGTGAGGCTTTCACCAGCTGGGAAAGCAAAGCGCCTCCACCGCAGCCTACAGCATCACATCGGCAGCCCTTCCCGGGCTCTCCAGTCCCGGCAAGGGCTCTCCAGTCACTCTGCCCTAGGAAGCCTGAGCCCCAGGGCTGGCAGGGGCAGAAGCCAGCTGGCCAGGCACTGGACGTGACCCTCCCCACAGCAGAGTCCTGCCGAGTAGGACTTGGAGCAGAGAAACAGGATGAAGAAGTGTTAGAAGGTAATGTGCTGGGAAAGCTTTTTTACCTTACTCTGTTTATTACAGTGCTTCCTTTCATTGTATGCTTGGGGAAAAAAAAAAGAAAAATCATTTCCCCATCTCCATTCACCATCAGGGCCTGTCACAATGCTGGGCAAGCAGCTGCTTAGCACTGGCTGGCAAGAGGCATTGCGGAGGGAGGACCTCAGGACCAGCACGTCTGTGCCCTGAGCAGAGCCCTGACTGCAACTTGCAAGGAGCTACTGGGAGTTTTTATGACCAAGACTGCCCAAAACATGTCCTCAACCAACAGGTGGGTGAGGAAGGGGCAAAATCGAACATGTGGGAAAGGCCGGCAGTGGGACAGCACACTGACAGCCCCAGTGTCTCAGGGAGATGTGGCACGAGGGGGCACGAGTCCTGCACCTGCTGGAGTGAGCTGGGGAAAACAACACGAGTGCCAACAGGAGAAAACAAAGGACCTGATCTGAAGAAGACCATGCAGCTACCACAAGGAACTGGAGCTAGGTGAGAATGTGGTGGGTGATGGAGTAGTCATCATTACTTACTCCTGCACGACCAGCACTCAGCCAGTGTGGTGAGAACCATGGAGGCACACAATGGAAAGCTACCTGTTTCCCTTTTTGGATCTGTCGGTGCTCTCAGGCTACTCTTTTTTTATTTTCTTGATGGAAAAAAAAATAAAAATAAAAAAAAATAAGTGGGATACATTCTAGCAGCCCTTCCCAGAAAGAAAATGTTCCACTTTTCAGGGTACTTCATGTGTTCCATTTCTTTATGTTATTGTATAGTCTTAAATGCAATTACAGGCAAGCCTGAGATCCTGAGGTTTGTATCCACGCTGCCCTGGCTCCCATAGTGACTTTGACTGTAGCAGCAAAGCTGCCCTGCTACTGGACAGTTTCCCTGGAAGGGGAATGTGAACACAAAAAAAAAAAGGAGATAACCAAAATTCCCGGCTAGTGTCAAGTTAAATAAACTAATTGCTGTACACAACCCCATTTTAAAAGTCCTGCTGCTAAAGTCAGCTTAATATTGTGCAATAACATTCATCACAGTAAAACTATTCTAACCTTTTCCTTATCGCTCCACAACCCTCTCGGATGCCTTATCACAAGAAGTCAACCCAATGCCTGGCACATTAAGATTAAAAACACACTGAGTGCCTTAGCTACGATTCCCTATTCATTTGTGTATAGTAAATAATGCTACTCAGCTATAAGCTGATCTGAAAAGATAGTACAGCACCCCACCCGAGAATCAGCTCCATTTTTATCACCTTTCCAGATTTGATTACATAATCAAAAAGCCAATCAACTGGCTCTGTGATGCAGCCTTGTGTAGGCTTACACAGTTCCTTCTCCAAGTCAAACAGCACCACATTGTCTGGGGTAATCTCATCCACTCACATAAACAATTAGTCTGCTATATTTTGATTATCACTTCCGTTTGAGAGGGCATTGAGAGATGCTTCAGCCTGAGTGACAGAAGATCTGGCCTCCTGCTAAAACAGGAGTGCTCTTCTCAAGCTTTTTCTCCAACTGGAAAACATAGCAGCCAGCCTTGCCCCAAGTACCTCACTGAAGCAGAGCTCTATTCTCATTTGACACATGGAAACAAACCAGCATACGTTTAGGTGAAGCCTGACGCTTTTTTGAGTTATAAGACTCATAGATCACATACTCAGTAAAAGAACTAAGTTGACCCAAATGCAGGAAAGAGCAAAAGCAAACACTGAGCTATTTCATTCAATTCATGTTACAGCCTTTCAGAGCTTGACTGTCTCTAAGCAACAGTCAACTCCATTAGCACAAATCATCTACTAAATTGTTTAAGTATATGAACTCCTATTGCTTAGAGAGTGCTGAACAGCACTCATATAAACTGTTTGATTTGAACGGTGACATGCAGCCATGGATAAAAATAGTTTGCAGAGTAAATGTATATCCACAGCCTCAGTGGTTTGAAAAACTATTCACCAAGGCAAAAGCTAGGATAATCCCTGATACTGCAATCTACTCACATATAAATTCTTCCATCAGTGTAGTGCCTGAAATGAGACATCAGAAGTTAACTGCTCTCCTGTGAACCATTAAGTTAAAAACAGATATTGGTTAAACCTAAATGGATGATCTTTCTTAGAAAAATGGAAAGCAGAGAAGAGGATTTATTCCACTGCATTTGTATATGCTCCTTGCTACTCTGGCAGCTTAAAAGGAGTACAAATTGTTCCCATGCCTCACAATGTGCACTTCATCTAGCTGGTCTGCAGCTCTGTGTTAGCAATTATGTGAATTAGAAGTGAGCTTGAGCCTTTGTTGTTTATTTTTTTTTCCCTAATCTTCAATCTGAAGAGGTTTTAGAACATTTTTGTTTATTTTTACCTTTGAAGTTCAATTTTTTTTTCTAGGAAATGAGCACTGGAAATAACTATTTGTTTGTATGTAAAGCTCTGCGTTTATACAAAAGAAAAGTTTGTCTCCAACTTGTCATCCTGAAATTAGAAAAAGGTATCACAGCACTTATGTTCAAAGTTGTGCGGAAGTTCCCACCAACTAAATTTGCACAGATCTTGTCATAGCTGCGGAGGAGACTTTTAACTGGCATTTGGATCAGATTCTCTGCTGACTTACTCTCGCAACACAGTGCCCAGAAAACACCTGACTGGCAAGTGCTCAGCTCCCCACCTGCAAGGGATGGCACATATATCCTACTTCCCCTCCTCTCAACGCACATTAGCAAAAGTGGCAGAAGTAAAATAAGGCTTCCCAGCACCGCCCAGCAATGCTCTCTGGCCAAGGGCCGTTTGAGAGCAGTTACTTCCACATTAGTGCTAAGCGAATCAGAAATCCAGACACACAAAAATTCATCCGGCCACTCAGGTTCCAGTTTAAGGTGGGAACATTATCTTCAGAACACAAAAAGCCATTAGCTAGCTGGGGCAGTGTTGAAGTCCTGACCACCGCCTTTCCTTGGAGAGTTCAGCCTTTACAGACATTATCTCAAGTCATTTACATCTATACCACTATAGAGAGCCTGTCAGCTTCTTCCAGGCAGCCCTCAGTCCCTTCACATACACTGTTTATCCTGAAAGGTTCTACCTTCAGTCTAGGGATTGGATAGTGGTAGCCATCTGCCCATCTCCCAGGATAAATCTCTAATCTGGGGAAAAAACAGAGCATCTCCTCCTTCCTGCAAACAAACAGGAAACCAAAGCTCATCGGCATCCCGAGACTCAGAATCATTTGATTTTTCAAACTACCCTAGAAGCAGAAATTGTGCATAATAAGGTTGAATCTTTGGGTTGGGTGGACTGTTTGGGTTGTGTGGACTCCTTACTGCTCAAATTTTCCCTTCAACATCCTCCCACCAGCCACACAAACTGCAAGTGCTGTGGCAGAAGTAGCATCAGTAGTGCAAAGGTGCATGTAACTGCCAGCACAGACTGCTCTTTCAGGACACCAGAGCTCAGTAATGGGGACGAAACTGGCTTCCTGCTGCTCCACAACTTACACAGTAGATTAAATGCTGGAAATGGGGAACTGCAGTGAACCAACCAGCTCAGGCTGCATAGCCCAGAGGCCAGCACCAAACACCACACAGAAAGAACTACCAACGTATTTCACTGGATGCACAGGAAAACCATCCTCCCTCTTCTTCAGCTAAAATAAATAGCCTACCTCATGTCACTGAGAAGAATTCAGTCCCATTTAGATAGAGAAGGACCAAGAACTCATAGAAGATATTTAAGGTCCATTTTACATAACAGATCTATAGTTCTTCTGACTGCAAAAGTCAGGGAGAAAAAAACTGCACCTGCTGTTAGAAATAATGCGTGCCTTCATCAGTCCTTAGAAAACAAGCACTCAGATCTGATTCCTAAAACTACCATCACATAGAAACACCCTGTTCTTGAGCAAAAGCAGACAGAACATAGAAATTCCAAAACTCCTTCAACAGGTAACATCATCTACATACCTAGGTACCCATAGACAAGGTGCAGAGACCACTCTGACGGTATTTGAAGACACTTGAACAGATTTCATCACTCAGGCAAGTCTGGGAATACAATATCTTTAGCATCCTCACAGAACTCAAACGACTGGAAAGAAGTACTGACAAGGTATTTTCAGTTATTTCAGGCTAAAGGGATAAATACCTCTAGTTCTTCCATGACATCTGGTAAACCGAGATAATAGATAAGGAGCAGCTACTGAAAAAAATGCTTTCTTTCAGCTGAGCTTGCTGGAAATGCTGCTCTTCATTCTTTGATCTGGACATAAACTTTAATCAGTTCCATGCAGATCTTTAGTCCATGCGCTTGTCACGACAAGCTAGACTATCATAATGCATGTATATCAACAACATAAAAAAGGAGGTATGAAGTGCAACTGAGACTGAATTCTCCTTGATTCGTTTATGTCTCACTCACATCCAGTCAATCCATGAACTTCTTTAGGCTCTCTCTAAAAATATGTCCCAGAAATGTTCGTGTTACCAAACAGGCTTGAACAAGCTTTTCCAGTCTAGCGTTTGATCTTCTGTACAGTCTACATCACCCAAAATACCTTTAAAATAGACATTTGCTTTATATTGAAACAAAATAAGTTCTGGAGTACAATTCATGCTCTCATCCACTCCTCTTTTAAGTTCCTCAAAGGCAACAGGATATAGTGCCCTAATTTCCTTGAGTTTATTAAATTAGGCAGTTGAAGGTATGAGTCCTTAATGATGCTACCACACCCCGATAGCGGGCACACTGAGCTACTGTGTCTTTTACAGAAGCCCAGTCTCGAAGACTTAGCAAGATACTTTGAATTTAAAATTCCCCTTTGATCCACAGATGGCTCACTCTTGACTCTAAACCTACAAAAATCACTCAGCAAAGTCTCTTCTATTTCCAGAGCCCTTTGTTGCCTGACTTCACAAGTGTCAGGCAATTTTGTGAAGTCAGTCATGATCACATCAAGGGACAATCATAACTATCAATTCTCTGGCGGAAAAAAACCTGAGCTCTTCAACAACACACTCCATCGATGCCCCAACAAGATACTGCTGCACAGGGGATTTCTCTCTCTCCTATCTCGCAAACATCACATTTCCTGCACCCTCTTCCACATCCTGCTTATACTTCACCAAATGGTACTCTTTTCAGATCAGCTAAGATTCTTGCAGCCCCCCCTAACTCTGTATTTGCAAAGCCACAGTACAATTTCTGAACTAATATAACCTCCCACATACTACCTTGTTTCTACACTCCCAGCTTGCCTGATGCAACCAGAAAGCCTTGATCTTGCCATTCTCAGGGGATGCTACATTTTAAGATGATTGCAAGAGCCCATTATCTCTCCAGATGCTCTCCTGGGAAAGCCTTTGGCTGCTCTGAAGTCCATTCCAGGAACAACATATTCTTCAAGTGGATGATTCAGGAGGTTTGCATCTTACTCAGGAGGTTTTGCATGTTATGAGAAGAAAAGAAAAAGTGATCTCTTTTTCAACAGAGTCATTCCTTGAAATAATTGTTTGATCTTCTACCTAAAACTGCACCTGGAACTAACCTCCAAAGAGACTTCATCTGGGTGAGGCATCAAGGTCACCCTGCTGCTCTCAGATTTGTGAACACTTGTAAAAACACAGCCGTAGCAATTCCTACAACCAAATGGCAAGTTGTTCCCAAGGTGCCTCAGCATAGTCCTGACTCTGTACTTCTTCCTTACATAAATTATATTGAAAATATCAGGAATTTTAAGCACCAACAGGAGCTCTCCCCAAGTAGTTCAAAAATGTTGTCATACTCCGTCACCTAAATTTACCTTTGTTTTTTTATACCTATCTTTCCACATCTGGATAACTGATCTGCAAGATAAGTGACCTTCAAGTTCATTTCTAAAGTCAAGTCTCTGCTGAAGCTCAAACACAAAGCAGTCCGAAGCTTTCCTCATCTGTATTCATTTTCCTCATCTGTTTCTCTCTGTTTTTAATAGAGAAACAGATCAGGACCAGAGCAAATATATTTTTACCATCCCATTGACTCACTTTGCCGTTTGAGAGTGGGTATATTGCCTGCTCATTTCCCAAACTTGTCCAGAGAGTTTTAGTTGCTGCCCATACAAGGTTTCACTTTCATCTGCAAATGATCATTCAAAGTGTTCACTTAGGAAACCTCTTTGCTTTCACTCCTTCTGGTGCACCCAGGGTTTTTGTTTGTTTGGTTTTGTTTGGTTTTGTTTTGGGTGTTTTAAGATGTCGTTTTTATTATTTTTTTAATTCTATTTGCAGGGGTTCTAGTTCTTGTGTTAGAAGTCATAGCAATTGTTTCTGGTCTCTTTTGAGGGTGCAGGTTTTATTCTGTGATTGCTTCTTGCACTACGGTCCACGGGAACACCTATCACAAATTTCCATTTTGGAAGTTGCATCCACCTAATGATACCAAGTTATCCTTAGTCACAAGTAATGTGACAGTTCTGGAGACTTAAGGGCTATTTCCACTATAAAGAAAAGTTTAAGATGGTATAAGGCATTTTATTGACCATTTATTCAGAAAGAATTTATAAATTCTTGTTTTTCTGGACACAGGAGAAATCAAATAGCAGGAGTTTCTTTGACTTCAGTTTTCAGAGAGAACAGTGCTCAGTAACACATTCATTTGTATTGTCCTTGGGTCAATATAACTGGTTTTGTCTCGCTACAAGTGAGGTTTTTGTCCTACATTCTCTGTTATTCTGGTCACTTAGGCCTGTATAGCTCACCCAGTCAATGCTGAATTTCTTTCTATGAAGCTTCGTGGGTAACAGTGCTCAGCTATTGCTCAGACTTTAACAAGTATATGTGCTCTGAGTGGTGACTTCTGTAGCTTCAGCTATCTGGTTGAAGAAAGGAGGAAGGATTTTATCTCACACCTCCATTACAAATGAAGAACAAATTAATTACAAATCAGTAATTATACTTGCCAGCGTCAATGAGGTTCCACCCTATGTATGAGCATGACGGTAATGCCAGAATGCATAAAACTCTTCAGCGCTTTGTTTTTGTAATGACAAACTTAATTCTGCATCTTTAAATACGCACTTCAGAAAACACACATTTGACACACAAAAACTTTAAAAAACTAACTAGTTTTGTCACATCTGGCTTACTCCCAGGCTTAGCATGAGATAAACCAATTTATGCAACTTAGCACTGAACATCTTACCAGATCAACATTTATCAAACCTGGCCCAGGACTTGCAATCTTTGGTTATATTTCACACATGCCTATGACCTTGTGCAAATTGCTCCTCTGCGTGAGTCCCATCCCTTATTACAATATTTCCCTTCAAACATACATAGATCTATGCTTGAAAATTCAAATCAGTGTTGTCCCAGTTCCAGCTCTACTAAAGTAAAATGATTCTATTGAAAGCAACCTAATCAGTGTAGGGAGTTTAATCTGCCACAGAAAGAAAGTGGACCAGATAAAACAGTCCCATGGAGCAGGAGTTTGACTCCACTAGCCTAATACACAGTATTGTTTCAAATAAGGTGTCATAACAGAACTTTACGTGTAGTGGTTTTAATACAGCGTAGATACTGGGGGGGGAGACATATGGTAATTACTCCTTACATTCAGTGGCAGAAAAACCTGTCCAACTACAAAAGTTAATACAAACAAGACTTATTGCCTGCCAGGTCCTGACCTTGTTTGTTTTTGCATGAGAAGCCATTTCTCACAGAAACTGAGCACACCTCTAACCCAAATCTTGCAGCTGCCCAGGATCCATAGCAGTGCTCTCTCTGAAGAGGCAGATGCCTGCCTCTGAATGCCTCCATGATCAAATCCTAGTCTTTCTTTTAGTACTCCTGAAGATTTAAGCAGGGAAGCAGAAATCGTAACTTGGATCCTCTTCAAAAGGTTCTTTTAAAAATTGTCTCCTGACATATTTGCAGCTTAAGTCTACAGATTTGCAGATGTAGAATGTACACCTCAGACCACCACTGGAAATAAGTCATAAAAATTTGTTATATCTTTTACTTAGAAAAAGTAACTAAGAAAATGGCAAACTGTCACCTACAGCCTGACATAAATAAGTTATTACCTCCCCACCAACCCCCAAAAAAGAAATCCAGGAAATTTTCTGTATGTTCTTTTGTACTTTTATCATTTAAAGACATGACTGCATGACCTTTTCTTCTGTATTCTAATATCGTTTACAAATAACATGCTATGTTGATTGCAGCAATATGCAAGAATATCTACAAAGATACCTGACAATCTGATTTTAAACTTGGACTTCACTGAAGTCATCTATTCACTGAAATACTCAGATTTACTGTTCTTACAGCAACATGGAAATCTAAACTATTAATTACAACAGTTTGGCGGTAAAGCTTGACTTACTAAGGTTCTGTCTTCAACCTGAGAAGCATTACAGACATTGCCCTGCTTGATGTAAAACCTCATCTTAGAACAATGAAATTCCATAAGCCTCTCCACTTAACCCTCACTTTTCAGCTCCTTCTGAAGAGTCAAGGCCACTGGGCCCTGTTTCTCAAATTTGGAAGAGGAATGAAGCCTACAGACTGGCACCCTCACGCATGGCAGACTGCAAGAAGACGGTGCATTCAGCTGAAACTGAGTCTACCTTAGCAAAAGGCAGTAACCTAGTTGGAAATTGTCCAAGATATCAAAGTAATGCCACTAACACGCAGTTAACCTTTTTCTCTTGGTGCGGTTTGCTGGGGTTGTATTAAGTGAAGGATTTATATTTTTTTCAACCTTTCTAAGTAGCCTTAAAACCTTTATCCTTTGGTTGGAAGAATGGAACTTGCGTTTGAACATTTTTCACCACTCAATACTGCAGAAGGATCTGCTCTTAGTGTTTCAAACCTGATACCCAGTCTTTCCCAATACATTACTTCTGTTTCCTCTATTTATTGTTTCTGAACAATAAAAATACATTAGCCGGATTGAAAAGGTGACAGTGAATACATTAGCAAAGCCCACTGATGTTTCAGTTACCTGGAACAACGGGGGAGCTCCTCAGAAATCTAAGCCCAGCTAACTTTAAAACAAGATCAACAGTCAGGCAAAAAAAAAAAAGAAAAGCCCTGTTTCCAGTCTTCAGCACTGAGCTACCATTCGTTAGCCACACCACCTGCAAAAAAACTCAACTCAAGGTACTTCTTACACACATTTCATTTGCAACAATTCCTGGTTTTCGGCTTTTCTCCACATCCATGAAGGAGAAACTGAGGATATGCATAATTCATGGAACTCTAGGAGTTGGGACTTTACAAATAACGTCGGGTATTACCAGATTCGGAACAAAACTATGCTGGTCACATCTAAATTAGCTGCCCCCTAAAGCTGCCTAGTTAAGTTTTCCACATCACACTGCTCACGATTACACAGCTACACAAAATTCCACAGGCATCAGGATGCAGATGCACACTGGAGCCAGTCAAAATTCCCCACACTGAAATGAAACACATCCTGCAGGTGTGGCTGGGGAGGCCTCAGCGGCTTGTGCCTGCTGCAACTCCAGCTTTCATCCAAAGCACCCTCAGGAGGCAGGCAGGCAGGCAGCTCAGGTGGCTTGACCCACCTCTGCTCTGCACACAGGAATACCAGCACAAGTTTTCACTCAAAAGAGGAAAAACCTTAAGAATGGGGTCGCTCTCTTTTAACTGTGGGCAGTAGGTACAAAAATCTGAGGCTTGCCATGACTTTAAGCAGTTGTTTTCCCAATCCTCTGACTGCTTTCAACTGCCCTGCAACATCAATTAACTTGTGTGTGTCAAGTGCAGGGTGGGGGAAAAGCCGTTTGAAATACAAACAAATCTCTAAAAGAAAATCAAGATAAGAAATCCAAGCACTGGGTCATAACAAGTTTCTGTAGTTTGAAATTCATATGAAAAGCCTTGTTTCAGGGTTTGTTTGTTGATTTTTAAATGACATTGATGTTTATCTGCCAGAGGTCAAAGAACAAAAACTTGATTACTGTTTTAATATGAATTCTTTGTACAGAGAAGAGCTGTAGTAAGCTTGACTTACAGCGTCAGACGGTAAAAACCACACTTGATATGCTCTTCTAGCTGCCTTCTACCGAGCAATTTCAACTCCACGCCATGTGGCAGAAACAACCTAAAGGGGCATTTCAAATGAACTCTACAAAATTTATTATACCAGAAGATTCCCAAAGTACCATAATTCATTACATATAATCTTAGTTGCTACAAAGCATTGGGCTCCGCATGCAGTTAGTAAGTCAGCCATACATTGCAAACAACGCTGGGACCAACACCAGTAAGAACTCCTGTGCTTTTACACAAATGATTGCATAAGATACCATAGGTAACCTTAAAACTGCTCTTTCTTTCTGAGGAGCTTTGTAACTCAGGCACTCTTGGAGAAAGCAGTATTATTATGCATTTTGCTTAACAACACTGGAAACCCTGGGGGGAAATGTACCAAATACTCAACTGTTTGGGAGCTCAGCACAGGCCTCCACCATCTGAAACACCAAAGTAAACAGGAGCAGTGACAAGCTGATTTCTTCCATGTGAAGCAATTTGAAAAGAAATCAGGCAGTTTGCCAGTACCTCTTCTTGCTGCTTTCTGTCAGAGGGAACTGCACATCTCTCAGCAACTGCCCATCATCTTCTGTTCCTCTTCAGCCCTGTTTCCCTTCTAACACGTGCCACCTTTTAAATCACGCAAATCAGTTACTGCCCTACCACACACACTTACCGCTTTCTGCACACCCCTGATCTGCTGATTTCACTACCACCTCACCCTACATTCACCAACATACTTCTGTGCACCCATCTCTCCCTTCTCCTCTTCATTATCCCAGGGCCAGCAACCTGAGGCCGAGAGAGACTGTTTTCCCCGTTTTCTGCAGCCTACAGCAACTCATGGTCACTCATCAGCCACTGAAGTAATAGCAAGGAAAATCCTACTCAGGTGATGTGATGTTATGGTGAAGCCCACAAAGGGCTGGGGCAGCTTCTGCACAGGCAGAACCTCAAGTTACCAAACTCTGAAACATTCTTGCTAGTGCATAAGGATCCCCTAAACTAGAGGCACAGAAGGGCAGCTACTGAGCAACAGGAAGAGGGGGGAAAGCACTCATGGACATGATTGGCAAGACCTGCCTGAAATTTATAATGACAGTTCACTTAACTTGCCAAACCAAAAGGTAAACCTGAGCAGAAGATCCAGAGCTGCAGGAGCTCTGGAAGGGGAAGCTTACACCCAGGTAGAGCTCACAGAAAAAGAGCCCCATGCAGCCCAGCCTGGTCAATGCCTTAGGGTCCTCTTTATTATTAAGCAATAAATAAGAACTGTTTCAAAAGAGCATGCTTTGGACAATGCTTCGTTTCTATTCAACAGCAACCAATAAAATGCAAACAAACGAGAGTGAGAGGTAGACAGAGACAGCTGGAAAAACAGCACTAAAGCAACAAGACTACTCCTGACAGTCTTTTGGCTACTACAACCAAAATAGTCTCTCAAACCTCAAGCGATTTCCTTGTTTAACTCTGTTTCCAATTTTGCAATCAAAACCATTACCTTGCTAGAATGTAATTTCTTGGTTTAAGTTTGTTTCATGCTTGAAGTGAACGGAGGTAGTCATTACTTCTCCAGAGATAAGGAACCTGAAGCAGTTGAACAGTTGAAGCTTTCCTGTGCCCACTGGGAAAGGAAGCTGGAAATCCCGGGAACTGGGACTCAGCTCCCACACAACTGCAGGTGAGGTTGGGACCTCTTGATGCCCAGTGCCAGAAGAGAAGAGAAACCACTCAAAAAGTAGTCCAAAAAGCGAGGGTTTAGCATCATTGTACAGCTGAAACCAGAACCTATGTCAGGAAACATCCAAGTCTACATAGCAGTGGAAGTACTGAATCAAATAATTAGATGGAATCAGATTTACAAATAACAAATGAAGGTTTAAAATACTGTCATAAGGGGGTTTATGTCCTTAATATAACTAAAATATGCATCTTTGAGTAAGTGACCAAACAAGACAGACAAGGAAAATGGCAAAATCCTGAACTACCACTCATGTTACTTTCTCCAGTCTTTCCATAAATATCCCTAATCAAGTATATCAAAGTCACATGAACTTCACCAGTCTCCCTTTGGTACAAGAAGTAACAGACCTTTCAAAGCAAGCAGAAACCAGACTTTCAAGTGCATTAAATACACGTGCAGAGGACACGGCTTTGTGCCGTTGCCCAACAAACAGGCTCAGGCTTCAGCAGAGCAGCAGCAGCCTGCACCATTAACAGTGAAGGGCAGTAGGTTTCAAACACGTTGCCGTGCAGTAAAACACTTGACTGAGCAAAGGTTTATGCACTTCTTAGGAGATAATGTTCCAAACTGGGGTAGACAAAGACTGATCTGACTCTTTCTTCCACAGCACTTTTAAAATACAGGATAACCTTGATTTCTAGTGAGTCTGAGAACTACGTAAAGGCTGTTTAGGTAATCCCCTCATTATGCAAAAGTAAGTTAAATCAGACTTAAAGTTGTGCAAGTGAAACAATCTCCTGTCTCTTTCCTGACTACTCCCCACATTACCCACAGGCCAGATGAGAACTCCAGAAATTGTAATAGCCACCACTGGTTTCAATTCAAAATTGGAATCCTCTCTCATTTCCATTACTACCACAAAATTTACGGGTAAACCCATTTTTACATTATTAAATCAATTGGTTCCTTCCCTAAGCCAAATTTTCTCCTTACTTCTGTTTTATAATGAGCTCTTTGAACCGAGGATATTTCATTTTAGTGCCCAGTCTCATAAATCATAATTCCGTAATTAAGTCTAATCCTATATCCTTCACACCCAAGCTGTGCTCTGTGTGTGAGTAAAACTTCTGAAACAAACCACCCGCCCCCCAAGGCTCATTACTTGCCACATTCTCATAAGGGTGCTTTGTGGAAAGCTTTGCCTCATTGTTTATTTAAAGACAGCACTGTTGTTAGAATACTTGCAACAAGCATCAAAATAAGGTCGTTATAAATGGCAAAGCTGGAGCTTGCCTAATTGCTAATGTGAGTGGGTAATCACAGAGGATATAAGCTTTGATATATGCATTAAGTTGCAAGGTGTGCAAGATACAGCTGTATTTATACGTCTACATATCTACTTATGTGGCATTTATTGTAAGATCAATGAAGGTGTTTAATAATGCATATAATATAGCTTATGCTTATGAAAGTTATCACTGAAAAGAAATACACCATATGGCTTAAAAATGTACATTAGCATACAAAGTAGCTGCAGAATTCACTCCAGTGTTTTTGCATTAGGAAGCCAATCAAGACAGCATAGTTCTGAAAATGCTAATCCTACAGTATTTAAGAACAAAAGAAAGAACCACGCAATCAAAACTGTCAGATCTCACTGGCACTGTCAGACCAGAGGCTAAAGTACCTAGGTAATAAAACATACAAGTACCTTTGCTTGTACAGGAAAGCTGAAATTCAGCTTCTCTTCCTTCTTCTAGGTATTATTTGATTCTGTATGTCTCAGAGTTCAATTATGAGTAATTTTAGTTATGCCACTCTCACTTTCTTCAGGCTTTTCATTCTTTCTGACTAATTAGGTTTTGTCATCTGGCACAAGACAAAACAAAAATGGATATTAATTAAAGGACACATACTCTGCTCCTTAGCCATAGCTTACGTTTTCAGACAGTAGGAGGGAAGGGTAAAAAGAATAAGCACACTGATGAATATGCTACATTGGTGTGTTGTAAGCTCCATCAGTCACTACATCTTTTTTTCTCAGCACCATTCTGAGGCCACCACGATGACATTTTAGCCTTTGCTGTATTTAGAATGTTTTGATTTATACTGTTCTATAAGCACTTTCTACTTAATCCTGTCTTTTCACAAAGCATGACTGACTCAATATGTGTGAAGTCAAATAAAATGATTAATGCACAAAAGCCCAGGGAAGAAGCCTGAATAAAACTGGGATGCTCATTTCAAATCAGAAAGTTCTGGCAAGCACTTCCTCAAATTAACAGAAGTTGTTCAAGAAAAATCAACATTAAACTTGAGAAAATTAGTCCAAATACTCCACAACACACTTTTTGATGCTAATTACAAGTAAGTCTCAGCACCCCTCGTCATGCACTGTCATACATTACCTAGCAGGCAGCTCCTGCTGCATGCTCCATTAATTATGTTCCATGAGGTTTCTCACTGCTACGGCACAGAAGCGTATTTGTGGAGGTGAGACAGGAATGCAGCTACTGACTGTGACTAACAGGCTCATTGTCAAATTTTCCTACAGCTGATGCTGGCTATTGCCATTACTCACTTTTCGTTCCGCCTCTCCAACTGAGAATACTTTTCTCCCCCTCACTGTACTGACTGGTGATTAATAGCAGCTCTAATTCCCAGCATGCACCGTTACCAACATTCACAGCTAAAATACTGGGGAAGGTGGTCTTGAGGTTCAGACACTGGTCTTGGACAACTTAAGATACCTGGATTCATTACCTAGCTCTGCCACATATCTCCTTTGGGACATAAAGTCTCCAACTGTGCAAAAGCTAAAACACACTAAAACCTCAAAAATCAGGGGGGGAAACACCCACATTATTAGCACAGTTCAATAATCCAGTACCACATATATCTTGAAATAGCAGAAAGCCAACCATAGGTGTAAATTCCTTTTCCCAAACTTTTTCTTTTCTGAAAAAAACTGAATTGCTACTGTCAGTTCATACATTCAAAAGCACACTCCTTTTTATTTAAAAAAGGGGGGAAAGGGGAGCCTAGAGAGTGCTGAGATTGGAAAAGCCGGGCTGCACATCATCAGATGGATACAGGAGGAAGAATCTGGAGCAGTGCTGCCTGACCTCCTTGCCCCTGCCCCCATCCCACACTACAGTGCTAGCCTCAGATGAGGAAGAGAGGTTCAGTTTCCTCTTCTGACTAAGAGGGATCAAATCTGAAAGCAGAGTCCTCACGCTAACATCCAACAGCTATTTATAGTAAAGAAGCAGTATGGAGACAAGGACAGAAGCACAGGTTACTTCCAGCTGAAAGAAGTGCCCCAGCCTTTTGGCTCCTATTTACGCAATCTCGTGGTTCCACTGATTCTCAAACCCTTTTTGTATAAGGCATGGAAAGGCACTCCTGCCTTCACCTGGCACCACTCAGCACCCTAACCTGGACACAGGGCCAAGAGGCACAGATCCCCTATGTCCTAAACAAGAAGGTTATGACCTTCTAAACTGCCTGAGAGGAAGCTATCCACGCTTAAGGCTGTAGTAGATATTAAGTTGACCCTACACTCGATCTGAATAGCTCAGCTGCATCTTTCTCCGGGCTCTACGTTTCCTGGGAAAACTGAGCATGTGAAAATTTCTGCACCAGCAAGTGAGCAAAAACTATTCTCATATTTATAATATAAACTCATAAAACAGCCTTTGCTTACAATTCTCCCTCAAAACTAATCTGTTGAGCTGGTTCTTCAAGGAGTAAGGTGTACTGACGTGACAGACCTTCCCTGCTTGGAGAGGTGCTATAAACTTTTTTATCTTATTTATAGAATGGCCTCACGCACACTTTGTTTAAGAAACAATTAGCCTTTGACAGCTTAAAATAAACAGGACTCTCTCCCTGCTGCAGAGTCACTAGACCTGAGCTAGATTTCAGGCTCTTGCATGAAACTACCTGATGGACTCAATAGTGTAAGTGACAAAATAGCTTGCCCAGCACCTTCAAAACCCTGAGCAATAGAACAAGGACCCACATCAAGTCAAATAAAGTGAGCCAGCAATCATTCCTGCTCCTAAACCATTTTGTCCTTACCAACAAGAGGCACCTCTGGAAGACAAGGCCCCCTCTTGTCAGGTGTTTGCGAACAGAGGACTTGCAGGAACACAGAAGATGCAGGAGTTTAGCAAGGGTTGCATGCCAGATGTGCAGCTGGACAAACTTTTTCCCTGAACGTACAGCTGCTTTTCCTGCCTCCTGTGTCGCTGCAACAGGTCCAAAGGCAGTAACAGCAATAGCTGGCACAGATAATGTGACTTGGCATCACAACTTTATATTTCAGTCCAGGCTCTTGTGCCACCAGCAGAGGGGTCAGCATTCCCATCTAGTAGACATGAGAGTTTTCCACTTCACCTTTCCCTTAAGGCCTTCATTCAGGTTGTCAGCTCCAGCCTCCTGGCTCTGCAGCTGCCTTTACCATGCCAGGGAGCAGGGCTCAAAAAAAGCTGTACTGGAAAGCTAAGAGAGGTACATTGGCATTCTTGAATTCCTGGCCTGCCAAAGGGGAGACACACAGAGGAGTCCAGTTTCATCCCCAGTGGTTTTTTTAGGCTGGGTTAGCTGGCCGAAAGAGATCATGAGTAGTCTCATTAGGGCGTTGCCTTGAGTTCAATTATTTCTTCTGGTAAAGAGCTCCCAGGTGCCTTAGGCAAGCTTTGATCTTGGCTTCCTATCTACAGAACCAGGGGTAAATCTCCTGCCTTAACTCCAAGGGATGAGGACAGAACCAGCAACGCGGGAATGCCAACATGTATTTGGGCACCACACAGGTGTACAAGCAGCAGTCACAGCAGAAACATCTATAAGTATAGATAAGCAGGTGTTCTCAGAAATGAGGAACATTTCTCAACACAACGAAAAGTGGGAAGTATGGCAAATTTAGCTTCCCTCAGATAACAGAACACATTAATGAGACAAACAATGAAACCAAACAATGCATCAGTAAGTTATGCCAACAAAAGAGAAACACTGGGGTTACAAGAGTAAGAAGCAATATCCAGTTATTAACAGTTGCAGAAAGCAAACATTTTCATACAGGATTTAAAATTACAAGAGTCAGCAAAACAAAGGGAGATGTGAGACAAAATAGAATTGCCGATAGAGGAGGGGCAAAATTAACAGAGAAACAAACCATGGGAAAACATTTGTCAACAGACGAAATAAGTGAACAGCAAGGATAGGAAGTAATAATAAGTTAAAAATATATAAGGGACCAGCTCTTTTCCAGGAAAAGTACCACATCAAGTAACACAATTTGTTGTTAGCAATTTAATATTGCTCTTCTTCTTCACTCTGAAGTCATCTCAGGACGCCGAGAGGCTAATATGACACACAGGAGTGATACCCAGGCACACATTTATTAGTAGCAGATCAGCCTTAGCCAAGTTCAAGTGTATTCTGAAGGTACCACTAATGTTTAAACACCAAATGACACTGATATTTAACTACAGCTTGAGCTGCCTTGTCAATGGGATCACTACAAATCATACAGTACAGATGTTTCCAATGAGAAAGGTTTAAGGATGTGCTTAGTTAGGACACACCACCAACTCACTGAATCTACTGCCACTCTGCTAGGAACATCAGAGGGAACCACTGCACCATCGGGATGTATCACTACAACCAAACTACATGGTAGTTTGCAGAAAGATATCAGTGTATTCTTATCATCATTCACTGTGGTTTTCTGTCCTGGATTCCAAAAAGGTGATTTAAAGTTGTCAACGTTAATAAAAAAACAAAACCCTCAAGCAAGCTGGATAGTTCAGTGAAGCAGCCACAGCTGAACTACATCTCTTCACTCTGCAAAGAGATGGAAGAGCTTGCAGAAGAAGCACCCCCATGAAATTAAGTATCAGATTAGAAACATCTGATCGTTAACCACTGCAGGTAAAGACTTTAGTCAAATGCAAACCAGAAGCAAATGGACGGACATTTAACGAGCTGATTATGGCGATGAGTACGATAAGAAAGCTTTTGTCCTTCACTCTTCATCAAAAACATCATCTCAGATGTGCAATAAAATTAAGCTCGCACTACCCACCGAAACAAAAAGGACCACCGAGGTCTTCGGCTACAAATAAGGACTATATAAACTCATTTGGGCGCAGCACAGCGCTACTTGTACAGAGCGGTCCTGGCGTTTGGGTACTCCGGTTCTGGCTGGCCCGGAGGTGAAGCCCCGGCAGGAGCCGAGCGGGGAGCGCGGCCGGACCCACGCCGGGCACGGCCACCCTCCCAGCCCCGGGCCTGTGCGAGAACTTCTCTTTCCTCCCCGCTCATCACTTCCTACTTTCTTTCCCCCTCTCTGCCGCCGAGGTGGCGGCGGCAGCGCGCTGCCGGCCGCTTCCTGTGCTGCAGCCGGCTCTGCCCGCGGGTCCCAGCCACTCCTCAGCGGGCACGGCCCCCCGCCCCCGGCCCCTCACACTCACCCCAGCGTGCTGATGAACCCATTGACAGAGCCCTCCGCGTACAGGGACACGATGTCCCCGATGTACAGAAAGCTGGACATTTTCTCACACATTTTGGCTCATTTTTTGCTGGATTTCGCTCTCCTCCCCTTAAAAAAAAATAAAAGAAATAAAAATAAAACAAACTAAAACCGATCCAGACGCAGACGGGGCGCGGGCGCGCCGGGCGCTCAGCGTGGCCCCGGTGGCTCTGCGGGACGGCGGGCGCGGGGGGACATGAGCGCGGCTCCGCTGCCCTCTGCGGACCGCCACGGCTCGGCTCGGCTCGGCTCGGCCCGGCCCGGTCGCGCACCGCCTCCTGCGCCTCCGCCCCCCGCTGCCGCCCGCCTCCGCCTCCCGGGACCGCCCCGTCGAGGACACCCCGGGCAGGGGGTCGGGACCCCGTGGGCTCTGCACGGGTCAGGCTGTCCTTGCGGGAGGGAGGCAGCAGGATGGGGGCGCAGAGCGGGGACCCCCAGGCGGTAGAGACGTGGGGTGGTTGGGTGTCCCTGCCACATTGCCGCCGCCTCTACCGGGAGGGCACGGTGGCCCTGTGCTTAATCACCACCCTGCCGCCCTCTGTTTTATGGCTTACAAACTTGTAGCAACAACCAATGCTTTACTTATTTATTTATTTTTAAATCAGAAGTTATCTGTGCTGCAGCCCTGTGCAGGAATTCCCACAGCGCACATTCCCGTCAGAAAGCTGCCACTAGCTTAATGAAAAAATACCCTCAAACGAGAAGCCTGTACACTCTGAAAGAGTTTTCTGCTGAGGAAAGAGGAGGCACTTGCAGTCTCAGCACGCTCCCCAGAGGGGTGGGCTTCCACCACTCCCTCCCCCAGCAAAGATAAGGCCCTGCAGACACAGAGGCACTACATAAGGCTGTAGCTTCAGTAGCCAAAGATGCTTACACGGGGCTGTGCAAACACACATCGAACCAGATCCCTGCCCAGAAAGGAGTACCAGCCCCCTGACATCCAGTCAGTGGCTGGAAGTGTTCAAGGGAAAGCCTATCACCGGTGCGGGATTCTTGTTCTTAAAACCACCATGAATTCTTCAATCAAAGAGGCGATTCCTACCAACAGTTTTAGGAATCAAAATATTTCCACTTTTTCTGATTTCCAGCTGTAGTTCACCTCCCTGAGACAACCGTCCCAGTTACAAGCAAGCTCAGACTGCTGCTGCTCACCCAGTGTGCTTCTCCAACAGACTGTCTGGATTTCAAATAAAGAAAAACAGCTCACGCAGGTCTAAAGCCTGATCAATACCAACTCTCAAACGATAAGAATATAACTGTTTGTAGGAATGTGCAGTGGTGGAAGTGAGTAAGAAGCTGAGGGGTTCACACTTGCATTTAATTTCCCACATTTACAGATTCCAGCCTTATCTCATTTCTTCTGAGCATACATTCTTGACATGAGAAGTGCTGTGTCTTCAAAATAATAATTAAAAAAAGTCTTACCATATAGATGTACATCAAAAAAAAAAAAAAGCAGCAGCCTGTTATACCATGCTAGAATTCCCCCTTTTTCACTTTTTACGGTGAATATTTTGGATGTCACCCTTTTTTTGTACCCACCAGGGTACAAAGACACCACCAAAGATCTGCACTTGCATGCTGCACATCTACACACGTGGGCTCTAGGCCTGACCACCAAATTCTTCTCCTGGAGTAACCACACAACTGTTAGAACACTTCTGGAAATGACATGGGAAGAGC